CTTTCATAAATCTGTTTGATATGTTGAGATGAGACGGTTGCAGAATCTAATTGCTTGGAAAAGATAATTTGGTGGATATAGTCAGTAGCAAGTACAGCCTATGTTATACAATCAGTTTCACACCCAGGAGGATACCTGAGAATCAGAATGTGGGTACTAAATTGGCCTCAAATTCTTTGAAACAGGAAACCAGATGCCTTGAGGTGAAGTAACTTATTTAGGAGAGCATAGCCAACTATGAGCAAAATAGGGTATCCATACTCTAGGGCCATTTTTATTTCCATATGTCAGCAGTCTTCAAACTGGGCTACATTCTCATAAAGGCCTCCCTAGGAATATGTGGGCACAAATATAATGAGTTTCAAATCTAGAATTATCAAAGGTCCATTATTTTATATAATTGATACATGTGAGAAAGCACCTGAGGCAACAAGCCAGGTACCTTCTCCTTTCTCCCATTCTGCAAAAAAAAAAAACTAAACAACAAAAAATTTCTCAGCCACATAAATATGTAGCAAGCCCAAGTTACCAAAGAGACAATTCAAAATTGTGATATCTACAGAGCATTCATTAATAAGAAAATATAGTCCTCACCCATGTTTATCATGAAGGAAAGCAATTCCAATAAAAATATTTTACTTTCATGACATGTAATTATTTATTAAAATGCACAGTATATATTCATATGTTATTTTGAATAATTATAATGATAACTCGATCCAAAAGAAATGTGTTTTAAAACTTGAAACCTTGTAGTCACAGGAAACAATTTTTGTTTCAACTTCTAAACATATTTTCTTTTACAGAAATGTTTCACAGGTTGATCTATAGAACACCCCCAAACATAAAAATATGTTACAATAAGAGAAAACTCAGTCATGGGAATAAAGTGGAAATATAATTTTTACGGTTGGGAAAACATGCAATGTAGAATTTCCTACTATTAAATAAAAGCCCATTCATGTGATTTTTAAAAATTAGATAGTGAATGTCAAGTGACTATGACATGTTTATGCCACTAGAGTAATTTTAAAGAGTGACGTATTATTTCATATTAAAACATTCAATATTTATAATATGTGAGACATTTCATTCTTTGATACTATTTAAATTTATGAAGAAAGAATTCATAAGCCAATTTAAGGAAAAGGTAAGGGAGTACACAATTTTTCATAATACATTATGGGGCATAGAAGCAAAGACTTAGAGGACCACTGCTTCTTACTTTCTTTTTGGATGAGCAACAGAATTGATGATCAAGGAAAAACAGTTCTGTACTTGGAACCCTAACCTGCTATTGGGTAATATGTTAGTCTGAGTAGCGTGTTAGTAAGCAGAGATTGGCTAGATGCTCAGCAAGCCTATTTCTTCTTCCTGGAAACACTGTTAACATTTCCAACACTGCAACTGGATGAGGCCATGTGATTGGTTTTAGCCCAAGGAGGATGAGAAAACGCAATGTGTCCTTCCAGGGCAAGGTGGTTAAGAACAATATCAATAAACTTTCTCCATGCCTTCTTCTTATCTGTCAGCTGATGACACCAGAGTGAACTTGAAACAATGTGTTAAGCACTGTGGAGCACAAAGTGGATGGATTCCTGAGTGACTGCCTGGAGAAGCTGCCCAGAAGGATCTCCTGACAAAGAATAACTGCAATAAACTTGATGTAAGCAAGAATACACACATGCATGTGTGTGTGTGTGTGTGCGTGTGTGAAACTACTAATTATCCTCACATCTACTAATACCCTGATTATGATTTGACTCAGAAGCGTGCCTTTGCTACAGTGGGAGGTACTCTGTTATCGCACATGGCTGGCTTCATTTAAACTACCATTTCCATTTTGATTAGTCTGAATTTCACACGAACATCAAAACCATAGCTGTAATTAATTTAGTTAACTTATATATTGACCAGACTGGTTCCATTTAAGTAACCAAACGTTCATTTTAGTTTATAACTAAAGCTTAAGTTTTGTTCTTTGAAGAATCCAAACACAATGATGGGAAGTGTTCTCATCTTTAAACCCCAGGAAGTCTAATCCAGGTATTCATCTTTTTAACATTTCATTATGGTAGCAAATCTATGCAGGTTGTACTTCACAGAGCGACAGTAGTAGTATTCTCTCTGCCTGCAACATAAAATCCACACATTTAGTATGGTGTGATGGTTAATTTCATGTCACCTTGAATGGGCCATAAAATGCCCAGATATCTGATGAAAAACATTATTTCTGGAGGTGTCTGTGGGGTGTTTCTGGAAGAGATTAGCATCTGAATTGGTGAACTGAGAAAAGCCAATGACCCTTCCCAGTGTGGGTGTGTGCATCATCGAATCCCCTGAGAGCCTGAATAGAACAAAAAGGCAGAGGAAGGCTAGATTCACTCTCCACCTGACTGGTGAGCAGGAACATCAATCTCCTCCTGCCCTTGGTGCCCTTCTCAGGCCCTCAGACCCATGCTAGAATCTACACCATCAAATCTCTGGCTCTCAGACCTGCAAACTACACCACCAGCTTTCCTGGGTCTCCAGGTATAGGCAGTAGATCATGGGACTCTCAGTCTCCCTAATCACGTGAGCCAATATCTCATAATCAATCTCTTCGATAGATAGATAGATGATAGATAGATAGACAGACAGATATCTCCTATTTGTTCTGTTTCTCTGGAGAACCCTGACTAATACACGTGGCTCTCAAGGTCCTTTACAATCTGATCCAACGTGCCTTTCCAGTATTATTTCTCAAGACTACATTTATGCTCCTTGTATTCCAGTAAAAAATAAATTTTGCTATTTTATCATGTTCAGTATAACTATGATTGTTAGGCAACATTTCTAATGAGTCTAAAATGATTATGCCAAGCATATTAGTATTCCCCAACTAACATTATGGGAAAGCTTTCAGAAATACTTGTTCCAGGTTAAAAAAAAAAAAAAAAAGAAAGAAATTATTTCCTGCTCATATAAATTTGTTTCCTTTTTTATTAGTAGTATACTTTAAGTTCTGGGATACATGTGCAGAAAGTGCAGGTTTGTTACATAGGTATACAGGTGCCTTGGTGGATTGCTGCAAACCTATCAATCTGTCACCTGCAATAGGTATTCCTCCTAATGCTATCCCTCTCCTAGTCCCCCACCCATCAACAGACCCTGGTGTGTGATCTTCCCCTCCCTATGTGCATGTGTTCTCATTGTTCAACTCTCTCTTAGGAGTAAGAACATGTGGTATTTGGTTTTCTGTTCCTGTGTTAGACAGTGTAGCAATTCCTCAAGGATCTAGAACCAGAAATATTATTTGACCTAGCAATCTCATGACGGAGTATATATCCAAAGGATTATAGATCATTCTACTATAGAGACACATGCACACGTATGTTTATTACAGCACTATTCACAATAGCAAAGACTTGGAACCAACTCAAATGCCCACCAATGACAGACTAGATAAAGAAAATGTGGTACATATACACCATGGAATACTATGCAGCCATAAAAAATGATGTGGTCATGTCTTTTGCAGGGACATGGATGAAGCTGGAAACCATCATTCTCAGCAAAATTCACTTGTTTATTTAACAAAATTAAATAGATGTCAGTTTGCCTTTAAAAAAACTGCCTTCTCGGAGCTCTTAATATGCTAATATTCAATTAAAATCTCTGACATTTCCCCAAATTTATTTGCTTTTAGGGCCCTTTTCCCCAGAGTATATATTGACGTCTGCAGAGCACAGTTTGATTTCTCAGCAGCTTCTGAGATGCCCTAGGACACCTTCTCTCTAGGCCCTTCCTCATGCTGTTCCTACCCCCCACCCTCTCAACCTCTGTCTCCATGGGTCTGGATCTAAAGCTTCCCCAGCCTTCAAGGTTCAACTCTCTGCCTCTCTCATGCAGCTTTCCAAGGAGTCCCCACCCCTCTGCTTGGCTTCCCACTGCTCCTCTATTAGTCTCCTCCTCACATTCTACCTTGTTTAACTCTACCATTCACATTTTACCTCCTTTACTAACTGGTAAGTTCTTTAAAGCAAAAACCAAATATTAGTTCTTTGTCAGTGTGCTGGCACACAACATTATGACACAGTATATGCTCACTAATTTTTTTTTTTACTGTAATGATAGACACTTCAAAGCATAAATCAACCAAGCTGAACTTCCAGTGATCTAACACATATGGCCTGGCTTTTGCATTTATTGAGTGGCCCTAAAAAGTTTGCAATATTCAATATAGACTGGTATGCCATGTCAAGGCCAAGTTTCCTTAAGCAACCCCTGGCAAGTGATGCTGTGGGATATAGGCGAACAAAATCATGTCATTACCTCGTTACTTTAGCTTAATGTATTTCTGGCTAAGAAGTAATTTCATGAGTCACCAACTTCTTTTCTATGGCACCAGTAGCTACTTACACAATGTAATAATGAAAAACTGTCATTTGAAGCAGCAACAAAGGAAAGATCAAGTTCTGACCCATGCTGAGTTTTTGGAACAGTTGGGCTTTCTGCAAGCCAGGTTTACATTGTGGGGAATGTTTGTTCTGGCCCTGACTACCAAGCCTTCAAAAAGAAGAGCTCACATTTTCCCTGCCCTTCAGTCCGTATAATGGTTTAACAGACATTCTAATTCAATAAGCCAGTTGGTATTTACTGAGCCCAGCACAATCACCTGTGTTTGCCAGTTGCTTTCAAGAAAGGTAATTCCAAAAAAAATAGTTGAATGAAGAGATATGCAAAAGGCCTCTGTGGCAAAGGCTGCTACTTGTCTTTAATATCCTTGTTCCTGTTCCTTATTAGAAACAACACTCCAATTTTATTGGGGGCAGGAATACACTCAGCTAAAATTCCAAGTTTCTTCATCTCCTTTTTAATTAGACATAGCCATGAGACAAATTTTGGCCAATGATGGGTAGAAGAGCATGAAGGCCTTCCAGGAGGATTACTTAAAAACCGCAGACTCAGCCAGGAAGATTCATCCCTTTTGCCCTTCTTCCCATCCTCTGCTATGTTACCTGAGATGCTGCTGTAACAGCTGGAGCTCCAACAGCAGTCTTGGGCCATGAAGTAACCTTGAGATGGAAGCCTTGAAGCAGAAAGATAGAAGGAGGCTGGCTTCTTAACGATCCTATAAGGTTATGCCTACTCCAACTTTCTTTTACACAAGACGATTAAAACTTTAAAATAAATTGCTACTTAAAGAGTCTGTCTTAATCTATCCAAGTTGCCATAACAAAATACCACAGATTGGGGGACTTGAGAGAAAGAAGGCTAGAAGTCCAAGGGCAGGATGCCAGCATGGCCAGATGCTCACGAGGGCCCCATTTTCCTGGCATGCAGAGAGCTGCCTACTCACTCTGTCCTCACATAGCAGAAAGAGAAAACAGGTCTCTCTCTTTTCCCCTTTTTGTAAGACCACCAATACTAATGGATTAAGACCCCACGCATATGACCTCATTTAGCCTTAATTATCTCCTAAAAGCCCCGTCTACAAATACAGTCAAATTGGGGTTAGGGCTTTTACATGAATTTGGGGGCAAACAAAATTCAGTCCAACTCAGAGCCCATCAGAACCTGGCAGGTTTATGGTCCATGACATTAAAGTAAATCTGAAACCAACACTGTCTTATCCAGAAACTTCACTCAGCCCTCCCGGTGAATTCAGTCTACTTAACGATTGTTCTTTTCTCTTTTTCTGGGGTTGCTTGTTTCTCCCCAACAGCAACCTGCCCCTTCATTTAGGCAACCACCTGGATTTGCCTGCTTGCTTCTAGATTCCATTCTCCTAGATTTCAGCTTTATTCACAGTTCTCTCTACATGCTGCCATGGATTTGGAATCTCCTGATATCTCAAATGAGGAAAAACTCTCTAATATAGCCTCTAATACAGCATTGCACAAACCCTACCAGCAAAGCTGGATCTGTTGCCTAAATACTATTCTAAATGGGAAAAAAAAATCTAGATGTCTGTGGATGGACAGGTAGATGCCAAGGCTTCCACAGATGGGCGTGCAAGTTGTGCACTGCACCATTCTAAGCGGGGCCTTTCACATCATAAGCGATCACTCATCTCACCTAATGCACGACCTATGCTGTATAAGAGTTAAACTAGCCATGCTGCTGGGCCCTCTGAACAACCGAGAAAGGAGGAAAAGAGAGCAGAGATGAATTATCAGTGTGGGAGCAGTGATAACTGAGAATGGGAGGGGTGAATATTATTAACATGCAGGTATGAGCAGTTGTAAGGTAGGATGTGGAGGAAAGTCATTGTCATTCTTACTGATAATAATTGTATGTCATTATCATAGCACATTCATCTGTGTTTTCTAGCTTAACACTCACAGCCTTCTTTATAGAAATTATTATTAATACAATTTAATATATGAGAAAATGAAGACTCCTAGTTAGATGACTTGCCTGAAATGTATTGGTCCAGAGGAGGAAGAGCAGTGCTTAAACAGGGTTTCCTGTCCCCAGACTGTGTTCTCTCTACCATGCGCTCACACACTGGTGGTTTGGGAGCCAAGTATTATTCTCATACTCATTTTGTTATTAAGGAAAATTAGAAAAACAGGTAGTTCTATGTATTTGTCGAAGGAAAATGAAAGAATCTGAACTTTGAGCCAAAATCTGACTCTGTATCCTGGGCTTGCTTCACCAACAGCATGTTACATTTCTCAAAGCATCCTTGCCCACATGACCTTCCACTAATACACTTGACCCCAATTCCAGTGCTGCTTTTTTTTCCACTATGGAAATCGCATCCTAAAAACAGTTGAACTATAAAGAACACACGAGCATAGTATTGATGAGAAATGTGATTTAGACACAGCTTCAGAGCCCACCAGCCCACCTTCCATTCTCAGCTGGCTAGCCATGTTTGTTGGGTGTGCAATGACTGCTCAGCACAACTGCAGGCACAGATCCATGCCACTGAGAAAAAACACTCTTCCGGGGAGACCAGAGCCAATCCGTGCAGTTTGGGGCCAACTTTAGCCAATAAATTCTGCCTGGAGGACCATGTTGAAACCAACTTGTAAGACATTATCCAGTTCAGGAGAAAAGAGGGAAGAGGGGAATTATCAATGCCTGATATGGAGACATTGATAATTGAGAATGGGGAGGGGTGGGTATTGTTAGCCTGTAGGCTTGATGACCCAAGCATGTAAGGATGGAATGATTTCTAGGGTAGAGAAACTAAAACCAGAGTGCAAGACACAAGACTATCACTAGGAAGGGTTGGACCAGGGACAACTAGATTGCAACCAGTAGATCACCCTCTTCCTCTCTCCTCTGTCTTCTCCCTATACCTCCAAATAGTCACAGACTTACACACACACACACACACACACACACACACACACACACACACTCCTATGAAGCCAGGTCAAACGAAGGTTAGGAAGACATTAAAGAACAAACAACACAATGGTTACGTGAAGGAGGAGATATGTTTTAATGGGAAGCTAGGGTGGTCCTACCAGCTTTGCCTTTGTTAGGAGCTTATTAGAGGAAGATAATTTTAGAAATGAAACCTTGATATTAGACTTGACAGAGATAGAATCTAGGGTAAGCCAGGAGAGCAAGATGAGACTTTGAGATCTAAGAAGCACCTGAAGATTGAACAGCAGGGTCAGAGCTATCACTCACAAACAGTGCTAATATTTGCTCCAGTCAAGGCTTTACCACTTTCTTATAATATGTGCTTTACAAGGCTGAAACAAGGACCCAAAGCATATATCTGGACAAGGACAGGGGACAAGCAAAGGGGGATCCAAAAAAACAAAAATGTGGGAAATGTTTTTACCTACATCAGTTTTGGTGTTGGTTTGGTTTGGTTTGGTTTGGTTCTTTTATTTTTGGTCCAGGTCCCTGTCTTAGCAGTTCTTGTCTTGGGAACATGGCCTTTGACACCAGAGACTTTTGAAAATTCATGGTCCAGCTTCACTTACCCACCAGCCATCCCCAGCAGGAAATTGAGGTCCAGAAAGGTGGTATGGCTTGTCCAAGGATATACCAGCAATTCATGTCAGAGCTACAGGCAGAACTTAAGTTACATGTGTAGAAGCCTGTCTTTAAAATACTTGTAGAAGCCTCTCTTTTAAATGCTTTCTAGATAGCATGAAAGCCACCTCTTTTCCCCTGACAGCTGCCACCTGCCACCCAGAGTCACCACCCAGCTTCTCAAGACTGCTCGGCATGTGTGGGGTCTCCCAGGGACCAGTGTATCAGACAGGATTGGGTTTGGCTGCATATAACAGAGAAGCTAAAAGTAAAGTGCATATTGCTCACTAATGAAAAAAAAAGTCAACCGTACATAGTCTAGGGATGGCATAGGAGCAATTCAAATTTGTCTGGGACTCAGGCTCCTACTATCATGCCAGATTACCAACTCTGGAAGGTAGCTCAGGTTCTCATGGTCCAAGATGCTCTGCTAGAGAGCCAGCCTACACCTAGGGCAGTAGAGGGGAGGTAAAGTTTAAAAATAAAAAGATATACCTCTTCCCTTTAAGAACACTTCCTGTGTTCACTGACAACCCTTATCTCATTGGTCAAAACTGAAGTCAATCAAAAGCTTTCATCTGAGTTGCAAAGGCAAATGAGCGAGGTAGTCATTTAATTACTGGCAATATGCCATCTCCTTAATAATGAGAGGAAAGCAAAGCTAGAGAAACAATGTGGGTTTCTGCCATACCGAGGACTAGTCTCCCCATGACAGGAAATGGACAAGAGAAGACAAATGAGTAAGTCAGAGAAGACTCATGCCCCGATGGCATTTGATGACAGAAGACCATGAATTAGCACAAAGGAGAAAGGAGAGAGTTTTCCACAGAGGTAATCTCATAGGCAAAGGCCTAAAGGAAGGGATATTAAAAGCTAATATAACAGGGGAAACAGTTACTGGGCCAATGGAGATGGAGAACAGCTTAAGGAAACAGGTATACAGGTAGAATGGGAGAGGCATTTCATAACCTATCAAGACCTAACCTCTTAGTTTTTTGCATCATTTCAACATTTATTGTGTGCCTACTGTGTGACAAGAGCTATACCTACTTGAGTAAGAAAGAATAAAATAAGCCAGGTATGGTAGTTCACGCCTGCAATCCCAGCATTTTGGGATGCTGAAATGGACAGATCACCTGAGATCAGGAGTTCAAGACCAGCCTGGCTAACATGGTAAAAACTCATCTCTACTAAAAATACAAAAATTAGCCAGGCATGGTGGTGGGCACCTGTAATCCCAGCTACTTGGGAGGTTGAGGCAGGAGAATTGCTTGGCCCTGGGAGGCTGAGGTCACAGTGAGCCAAGATCATGCCATTGTACTCCAGCCTGGGTGACAAGAGTGAAATGCCATCTCAAAGAAGAAGAAGGAGGAGGAGAAAAAAGAATCAATGAAATAACCACTAAGCTCATGAAACTTAGACTCCAGAAGAAACACATCAACAGACCATTGCAGTAAAGAGTGATGGACACAAGGTCAGGAGATCGAGATCATCCTGGCCAACATGGTGAAACCCCATCTCTACTAAAAATACAAAAAATTACCCGGGTGTGGTGGCAGGTGCCTATAATCCCAGATTCTCAGGATGCTAAGGCAGAAGAGTTGCTTGAACCTGGGAGGCGGAGGTTGTAGTGAGCCAAGATTGCACCACTGCACTGCAGCCTGGCCCACAAGAGTGAAACTTTGTCTTAAAAAAAAAAAAAAAAAAAAAAAGAGTGATGGAGATGATGCTAGAGAAAGCTCCATGCTGGGGAAGCACCAAGAAGAGGCACTTAACATACACTTAGGTCAGGGAAGGCAGAGGCCACCTGTAAAAAATGATTAAAAAAAAAAAAAAAAGCCATGTAGCACAGGGTTAAGGAAATGCTCTGCGTCTGCTTCACCAGGTTCAAATCCCAGCCCCACTTCTTAATAGCTGTGTATCCTGGTAAGGCATTTATTATCTCTGTACCCCAACCTCCTGATCTATAAGGTAGGGATGCTAATGGTGATAGCAGCACCTATTTGCTAGGATTGCTCAAAAGCTCAAAAGAGATACTCCACATGAAGTCCTTAGCATGGCATCTGGCATAAAAATAAGTGC